AATAAAGTTTTAAATTTCTTGTAAAAAAAATTTACCGTAGATACGCGGTATTACAAAATGCTAGTTCCGCGGTTTTGCACTATATTTCTTCGGATCATATATTTCTTCGGATCTCTCCTTAACTACGTAGAGTACATGTCTTATAGTGGACAGATACACAGGCGCGGGTCTAGGGTATAGCCATTGTGGCTAAGGCTTTTTTAAAGTAAAATTAATATAAATAATTAAGATAATTTTATTTGCTGTGTAAAATCGGCTTTAAAAGCGATTTCATAAAACTAAAAAAAAACGGAATAAAAAAAGAGATCGGTCATTGCAGATTGGTTTGTAGCTAAGCCACAAACGACCTGATTTTACGGCATAAACTAACAATATTATGGCTTTTTTATATAGCAATATACTTTTATTGTAAACTTGTATGCCGTCAACACTCATAGCCCGTGGCTATATAATTTTTTGCCTTGGGCTGTACTTATTACCCAGTCTTTTTGTGCCCAGTTATATTCAAATAACCTAAGCGTCTTTATTATTAGGGGGGGGGGGGGGGAAAGCTAAAATTCTATATTTCTTGTTTAACCAGTTATTCTTTATTAATTTTTTGAGAAAAGTTTAAAAAACAATTTAGTTTTTGCTAATTGGTTGACCTTCTACTTCTATTTTAAAAATTTAAAGATATAAAAAATTTTGCAAAAGTCTTTGCAAAAGTTTCTTTGCGTATTAAGTTACGCAACTTTTCTTTCAAATTTATGCTATTCAAATTTTGATTGGATAAATTTGGTTTTTAATCGTTGCGTTTTAGAAAAAAAAAAGTTTTATCTGAAGTCTTTTTCTAAAAAAACGTTTTAAATTAGTAAAAAGACAGATTGCTTCAAAATATCCTAATTTCCTTTTTTTTATTTATTTTTAATTGTTATTTAAGCTATCAAGAAGGCTTTTCAAGATTTCATTTTTTATTTCACTTTTCTTTAATGAAGTCAAGAATAAATCTTCTTTTAAAGTGCCAGTCAGTAGAAGTTCAGTTAAATTCTCAAGTTTTAACAATTCTAAAGATAAATAGTTAGTATAAAGGAACACCGCTACCTAAAAGGCTTTATAAAAAACAAACTGGGTGATCAAATTTGGAAATTTTCTGCTTTACTCTATAACGCAGTGAATAGCTAGTTTAAAAAAATTCTAAAAGCAGTTAATAAGTATACCTCAAAGAGGTTGAATGATTGTATCATTCTTGCTAGAGTATTATGGCAAAAGTTAGCCTCAGAACTTCAAAAAAGAGAAAAGTATTATGTGTTTGGTTGATGATGGAATATGATTAGTATTAACTTTCTAATTAAGTTGTTACAGTTGGAAAGCTTTGGAAAAAATCCATTTAATTTCAACAGTAGATGTATACTTAATTATTTAAATCATATAAAAAATGAAGGTTCCCATAGTTTAAAAATATTTTGGAGAATTATTGTCCAGTTATTTGTTCAAAAAGTTGAAACTATGGAATATAGTTGAAATCAGCAACAAAAACAAATGGATAACAATGGAAGAGCAGCAAACTTTACATCAGGTGTGCAAGATGAGTTCTGTTTTAGCTCGATTAAAGTTACAAGGCAGCCTATTTAGCTGTGAAGTAGACATTATTGAAATAGATAGAGATATGTTAAAATGAAAAAAAAGTTCGAAAAATGAGGTTCTTTATTTTAGGGATACACTGTAGGTCATTGTCGCGGAAGTCTATTTTGTTTAAATACATGATTGTTGATATAAAAATACAAACCTCCATCTTATGTCTACCGAAGAACACGCATATAACCTAGATGTTCTATAAGGAAAGTTCACGCAGCAATCTCTATCACATATGACTTTTATAGTTATTTTCCATTTTCAATAGTAAATAACAAACTGTATGAGTTATTTTCATATACAATGCTTAATTTTTTTTATTACTTATAAATGATAAGATATATTATTGATAAATTAAACAGAAAAAGATTTCTAGTTTTCTACTTTTCTTATATTTAATAATAAAAATAATTTCATCTTATTTTAACAATGCCTTTTATTGTCAATATGTTCACTTTTATTAAAATTGAAGTAGAAGGCTAAATAATTAAAATGAAAAAAAATGATTATGATTTTCAGAATCAGCATGAAAAACTAGTTAAGAAAAATTGGTTAAACTATAAAAAATCTTAACTTTTACATTCTTATTTTATTCATTAGATCAATTATTAACCTGCTAAATAAAATAAGAATGTAAAAGTTAAATGTCATAAAATGTTATGGCAAAACTTTTGGCATAACTATAATAGCATTGCAAATAATGGCAAAACTTTTATTAATAGTATTAACTTAATACTATTAATAAAAGTTTTGCCACAGAGTTGTATAAACATTTTCTATTTTAATTTTCTATAAATGTAAACAATTAAAATATTACATTTTTATTTTTTGAAATATATTTTAATCTTCAAACTTAAGCTTCAATTAAAAAGGATTTTATAAAAGGATTTTATAAGTTGATTCTATTTTCAGTAGAACCAACTATAATACAATAATAGGAGAATCTCCTATAATATTGTCAGTAGAATCATCAATTATAATACAATAATAAGGGAATCAACTATAATACAATAATTTAATATAAAATATATTATCTCTTATAATATTGGAGAATCATCAAAAAGTGAATTTGTAGGAAACAAATTGTTGAATGAAACAAATGTTATTTGATTTTTTTAGGAAACAAATTGTTGAATGAAACAAATGATATTTGATTTTTGTAGGAAACAAATTGTTGAATGAAACAAATGAAATTTGATTTTTGTAGGAAACAAATTGTTGAATGAAAGAAATGATATTTGAATTTTGTAGGATTTTATGTAGCTTACACAAGATCATTTAACATCAACCCGTAAAAATGACACATACATTTCTGAAAACACACAAAATAAACTTATAGAGTGTTGTGATAAAACTTTTGAGGAGATCTTATTTCTGAAACTAATAAAAGTAAGAACTTTTCAATTTTAGCTGATAAATTATCTTTCTATTGGTCAAGCAAAACTAATCAATGTCTGTTGTACTTGTTGGGTTAAAAAACAAAAAAGTCTGGGCATTTTTTTTTAGCAAATGACTCTTTAAAGTTGATGACTGAGTTTTCTTTCAATTCAACATTAACAAAAATTAAAAATTAGACTCCAAGTTAAGCAATATGATATATCTCAAATTTTAGAATTTTGAAGTTGACAATGGAAAAAAAAAAGCTTCTAGAAAATTACTTTTTAATTAGCTGTGATTTTAAATGTAAAATAACTAAAGCTTAGAAAATGTGGAAAGCAAACCATTCATGATAATCACTCGCTATCTTTAATATCTAATTATTATTAGTTATATAAAATTAAGAAAGCTGTTGGTTTGAAAAATGTTGGTTTGTATGGGGCGTTTGCAGTTCCAACCTAACTAAGCTAACTAGGATAGGCAAATCTATCTTCAGAAATATCTGGATATCTATCATTCCTATCTTCACATTAAACCTCTATTCATGCAGATTTTGATTTATGGGAGACTTTTTGGAAAAATAAATCAAAACCCCCTCGAGTATTTCTAAAACAAAAGTTATGACAATGACTGGTTTCGACAATATTCTTGAACTTTTTTAACAATTTAATCCTAGGTATAATACCTAGACATTAAAAACTCATTCAAGAAGCAGAATGTTAGAAAAGTGATTGAATTACCTTGGATCAATGTCAATTCATACAGAAATTTTTTCATATGTAGTCATATTTCATTCATATTTAAATCAGCATATTTTCAGCTTCTGGAGAGACTTTAAAACATTTTTTTAAATCTATTAGAGCATCTTATTGTTTATTTGATTTAAATGTTTAATAAATAAATTTATTATCTTTTTTGTGTACAATTCATGATCTTTGACTTTAAAAATGTTAAATATTTTAAAAAGTGCTTTAAACTGAATACAATGTAAACCACTAGATAAAAAATTTAAATATTTGTGTAAATTTTGTTAGTGTATGCTACAAAAAGAGTGCTGGATATTCATAAAAAACAATGATGTAATAAACTAGCCTGAGGATTCTATAGATGGTAAGACTGTTCAAATCTTTTTTTTTTTAAATATCCTTATATAAAGTAGTATAAAATAAGTAACTATTTGAAAAAAAAAAAAACACACAATGTAATATATATATTTTTGAATATATCACTATATTATTATGTTATTATAATAACAATTGCAGTTATGTTACTGGTAACAAAAAAATAAAGGAAAGAACCCAGAAATGGAGGGCTTTTTTGTTAACAATAACAATATTTTTAGTTTGACGCCTATTAAGAATAGGAAAAGAATTTTGAAATAGAGAGCGAATCTTAGGTAGCATTGCAACTTAAATATGGGGTGCAAAGTCCTATGGCTTACCTTCTAGTCGGTGCACTTCGTTAAGTAAATTAGACATTTTATGTCTAACTTACGAACAGAATAGCCAAGGCAAATTTTATATTTTACCATTAATTATTTTATTAGAATCAATGAAAGTAAATGAAAAATATGTTTACAAAAAGTGGAGACATATATTTATACACCGCAGAAGCTGTTTAATCCGTAAATTTAAGGCGCTCAGATAAAAAAATGTCTGGCAGCGTTTACATGACGTAATTATCGGACCTCTTTTTGATGTAGACTAACTGACTTATTAAATAGTTGCGAATATGACGTAATTTCACAAATTTTAGCTACACTTATATAAAATCCTAGATCCGCCCCTGATACATATCCATACCTTTATGTGGCGAGAAACAGACTCTTCGATTATTTTCATATTGTTAAGAACTTTTTAAAGATCTTCTTTCATATCTCTAGGTACGCAAAAAATCTTAATAAAATCTTGATACAATCAAAATGACAAAAAATTCAATGCAGTTTTTAAATCGATTTTTAAATAAAATTTAATTTAATTAAAAGTAGTAGAAGCAAAAAAAACAAAAAAACGTGCTTTTAAACAATTGCTTTAAATTACACAATTATACGTAATTACATAAAGAGGGTTAGTTTGTTTCAAAAAAATAATTTTTTATATAAAAAAACAAAAAATATATAATTCAATAAAATGAAATAAAAGTGTGTATAAAAAATTAAAAACATTTTTTAAAAATCTTAAAGCTTAAAAATATCTTTGTGCAACATTGAAGAGCAATTGATGAAACCAACCTAAAAAAACAAAATTTACATTAGAACAAAACAACAATAGCAAAAAAAGCAAACATCGTAGTTTTAATAATTTTTGTGTGTAGATTACATACGTGTATAAAGGAGTGCATATTTTCAAGAATTATTACTTAATTATTATTAATATTAACAGTATTAATATTAATAATAATTAATAGAATTATCCAGTATATGTATGACATGTTCTTATTTTTACATTTTAAAAAATGTAAAAATGAGAACATGCTATTAATGTTTAAGCATTATTTACTAAAACACCTTATTTACTAAAATAGAACAAATGAGTTACCAGATGAGATAAAATTAAACCAGGTAAGAAAATAAGCACGTTGATCAACACATTAGTTAGGAGTAACAGTATCTAGGGTCCTAAAGCCTCACATGTGATCAACAGGGTAAATTGTTTATCTCATGTGATCATTATGACAAAAATTGCTTTTTATCTCACATGAGACTATAGAAGGAAAATATCATTTTATATATAATCGTCTAGATATAAATCTTGCATTTTATCAACAATGTGGAAATTGTTAAAATAAAATTGAAACTTATTTTTTATAGCAAACTTACCGTATTGTTTGCAAGCAGATATAGCAGCATCATATCGTATTCTAAAAGCCTCAAACTCAGTATTTACTGCGGTAAGGAAAACGACTCGCTCGTACAAATGATCAAAGTAGTTCCACAGTTCATTAGTAATTGGAATATTCGAGTTGCATGTGATTGCAAATTGGGTATTGTTGATAAGCTTAACAATTTAAAAGAATATTTAATACAAAATTAGCAAATTAAATAAAAAAACTCAAGTCACTGTTGACACCTTGATATCTTTAACATAGAATAAAAACACAACTTTACTCACCATTTCTAATCTAGTCTTTACCATATTCAATGTCGAAATATCTTGCATTAAGCGATCAAGACTTGATGTTAAACGAGGAATGTTACATGCTGAACAAATAATATATTTAATAATAAGAATAAACATAATATCCAAAAAACATTACCATTAAAATTAAAAATTACAGCTAAACAAATTATATATATATATATATATATATATATATATATATATATATATATATATATATATATATATATATATATATATATTATATAATTTATAAATATTTATCTAAAAATATATTTGAATCTATAATACTGAAAAATAAAAATACAAAAATGTCAATAAATATATTTTATAAATAAAAATCTTACAATCTAATGATTCGTTCACATAGTCTACAGTCCATGGAGATAGTCTTAAAAGAACATTATCTACTGAAGTCATGTTCAAGTTAATGTACCCCAAAAAGGTGGTAAAGTTGTTAAACTGCGGAACTTGAGAACAATTGCAACTCTTTGGAATATTGCAATATTCTAAATAAAAAGAATATAATATAGAAAGAAAAAACAAAACAAAAGGACATGTTTTATACACACACACACACACACACACACACACACACACACACACATATATATATATATATATATATATATATATATATATATATATATATTATATATATATATATATATATATATATATATATATATATATATATATATATATAAAGTATAGCATTTTATAGAGGTTGAAAATATTTAATAAATATATAAAATATAAAATGTTTATAAATTTATATGGAGTTAATATTAATACAATCATAAATGTCATAAATCAAACATAATTACTTGGACAATCTCCATTATTACATGATGTTGTCTGGTTCCAATTACCAACACAATCATTTCCGGCACTAGGGATGTTAGGTTGAGTACAAATTCTAGTTCTAGTAGAAAATCCCATATCACATGAACTAGAACAAGCCGACCAAGCTGACCACGAAGTCCATGTTCCCATAACTGTAAATAAAGTTTATAATCTTTATCTATTTATAATTTTATCAATTTAAAAGCACGATTTTTACTATCAACAAATATATACATATATATGCATAACTTTGAATGTATTCTACAAAAAATGTTCATGAAAGAACAGAACAATAACAAATTAGCAAAATTTACTTATAAACTTTTTATTTTACACAAAGTTTTTTTTAAAAAAGACTCTTCAAAAATCAGATTTCTAAAGTGTCCTTGTTAGCAAACATTTAAACAACAAATTTCTTTAACTCTTCCATAACGTCGTATGTAGTAAAATAAAAAATTGAACCAAACAAACTAATGAAACAATTCAAATTGTACAAAGTTTGCTTAGTTTTGATGCAGCATGTTTAGAAAAATTAGAGTGTGATAAATTAAAATTCAATCAACTGGTTTTCTTGAGCACAAACTAGCACAAATTCCAAAATATTGTTCCCAATCAAAGATTTGTACTTTATTTTCTACTAGACAATTAAAAATTTAATTCCTGCCTCAAAATTAAATACTTTATATGCTAGCGAATTAAACTTCTTTTGTGATTTTCAAAAACCTTTTTTACATTTTATTTTGATTTAATCAAGCATGAATTAAAATAAAACTCTATTTAAATTCTTAACAAAGTAAAATATTTACACTTGAAACTTCAAGACACATTTTAAGTTTACACTTAGAATATGTTTCAAGACATTCAAAAAATATTTTAAGATTATTATAAAATATTTATAGTTATATATAAAAAATATTTTACACCTTAGATATTTCTTGAAATTTTAAGTTTAAACTTAAAATTTCAAGATCAAAATTTCAAATTCACACCTAAAACACATTTTATACCTTACACCTTTTTTTAAATTTTTATATGGTTTGGGTAAAATTATATTATGATAAACAAATTGATTAAAAAAAAGGTGTAAATTATGCAAATAAATTAACATAATTATATAAACCTAAAAAATTACCTGGACAAATTACAAGTTGATTGCAAGCAATTGTTTGATACTGCTCATTGCTGCCATTGCTACCTTCACATGCTCCTCCTAAGACAGCATTCAGACAAACACGTCGACGAACTTGCTTTGGATCAACCATAACGTTACTCTGACACGTTTCGGAGCAAGGTGTATATGGCCCCCATTCACTCCAATAACCTATAACATGGGTGTTATATTTATCAAAAATGTGATAGCAACAAAAAACTACATCAAAATTTATATAAATCTAAAATATACATATTACGCACCTGGGCAAGGGAAATTTGTATTACAAGTTTGGATTTCAGACGATTTTCCACCATAACAGTTACCAGTTAAAGTGCTTCCAACACAAACTCGATTGCGACTTTGGAACGGAAGACTTAAGTTACTTACGAAACAAGATTGTGAGCATGAAGTCCAGTTAGACCAACTATTCCATGAACCTATAGACAAAATAGTTAATGAAACCTATATCACTTGTAGCAAACATAGCTAATCTATTTCAAAATGTTTTAAACTTATGGAGGTTTTATGGTGCTTCATTTATGGTACTACATTTATGGAGCAAATAAACGTTTTTCAATAACTTTTTTTAAATTTAATCAGCAATTTAAATTTTAAAGAGATCTGATGTAAATATTATAACATGATGTGATCTTATAAATATCTACATAAAAACCAACAAAATCTGTCAGTAACATAAGTCTGAAGATTTATCAACAAATATTGCTTCAATTTAATATAATATCATGATAATATTTAATAAATATATAAGTTATTTTATAAATTTATAAATTAGTATTCCGTTACTTATACCATCATATATGTTACCTTGACAAGGAAGCCCTTCAAAACAATTTCTAGACTCTATCAGCTTTGTGCCATTACAGTTAAATGGTGATAAAGCATCAACACATCTTCTTGTTCTGGTTTCTGATGTTATTGGATCTTGTTGGCACTGGCCTTCACAACCTGACCAAGTGGACCATACAGTCAAAATTCCTATATAATTAAAATTAAAAATAATATAAATAAATGCATAACTAAATATGATTAATAAAAACGATATACATAAATTAAGAAAAAGAGATTAAATCATGTTTTTTATTTTAAACTGCAAGAAAATTTATAATCTTAATATTAATAAAATTGAGATTTTAAGACTTAAAGCACAATAAATTTTAATAGATTCAAAATAAACACTATTTCTGTAAACTTTTAATACATTCGAAATAAACACTTGTATTGCTGTAAACATTTTCGACAATAAAAGATGAAAGATAGAAATAAAGTTTTTACAATTATTTAGATTTATTTACCGACCACAATTTTTTGTGACAATAAAAAATAAATGTATGGCTATACAGCTGCTTGTATTATGAAAAAAAAGGAACTCTGTATTTATAACTTTATTTGTTATAATTTAATACATTTGAGATTTTTTTAAACAAATGTCTTTATCTTTTGAAAATACAGTGACAGATCCATGAAAACTGTCTCTCTTATATATAAAACCTATTATTATTATTATTATTATTATTATTATTATTATTATTATTATTATTATTACTCATCTTTACTTTTTTAATTAATTTTTTAAATCTGAACTTAAAATGTGTTGTCGATTTTGGTTTTTATTTAAATTAGGATTTTGTTAGTTTTTAAACAGTGTTAATATAAATAGCTTAATTTAGATAAAAACTGTAAACTGTCTCCAAGATTGAGTTTTTATTTAAGAACTTTAAAAACATTGTTAATATCAAGATTACAATAATTTAACAATTATAATTTAATAATTATAATTTAATAATTATATTAATAAATAGATAAAATAAGTTTAAACTTTAAATCATTTTACTTACAAATAAATAATAATTGTGTACGAAGAACAAACTTTGTTGTTTTTTTTGTCAAATGTTACTAAAGTTAAAAGCTCTTTTCTCTTTTTGAAGTTGCACATTTTACAGACCTTAAGTTGTTCAAACTTGAAAAAGTCACAAAAATTTTAAAAAAATTGTTTCACTTTTATTAGTTACAATATTAATGAACTATTATTAATATATATATATATATATATATATATATATATATATATATATATATATATATATATATATATATATATATATATATATATATATATATATATATATATATATATATTTTGCCTAATTATTATCATTTATTAAATGGTTTCAATTACTTTTATATTAAAGTTTAACCAGTTTTATACCAATTTTATTTTAATTTTCATATTTATAACTGATATAATTTAACATAGAAAGTCATAATCAACTAAATAAAAGACTATGCAGTAGTCAAAACATAAATTTAAAAATTTATTTAAGTGTAAAACATAATTTTACAAAATTTTACAAAGCAAAAATACTTTATAGATCATTCTATATTTGTAAAAATATCTTATTTTATATCTAATTTCTGTAATCTAATTATTTACTAGATAACTGTAACCCTAACCATATCAATATTAAACCCTGACAATATCAATTTTTAAACCTGGTCCTTTCAATGCTGAACCCTAAACCTTTAACCCTGACCTTATGTTGTAAAAGCAATAATAGTGCGAACAATATTATTAACAACCTAAATTTAAAATAAAAATATTTAGAATGTAAAAACATATAGAATTAAATGATAACAATAATAACTATAATTTTTGTGTTAAAGAAGGAAAAACATTTTACCTGGACATCCAATTTGAGTGTTGCAAGGTGCTATATCTATTGAACTACCCACACAACCCAAATAAAAAGTATCATTTAAGCACAACCTTGACCGAACCATGGTAGAAGAGTAAAGAGATCCGAGACTACATGTTGCTGAACATGCACTATAAGGCCCCCAATTTCCCCATGAACCTATCATAAATTGCAAAGTTAAAATTTTTTAATTAAGAAGTTTATTATTATAATAAAAAACTTAAAACAAGAAAAATTATTTTAGTCATAATGTAATGACAGGTAAAAGACTGGTAACAAGTGCAGGTAACATTTTATATTGTGTCAGGTAAAACTGTATATAATTTCAGGTAATGTTATATAATATAACAAGTAATTGTGAACAGTAAGTGCAGGTAATGTTTTAAATTGCGTCAGGTAAGACTCTTTAGTCACAGTAAAAGAAATTACTAAAGAAATTCTTAATTTAAATCTGGGTAAAGGTAGGAGAAACTTGAAAAAGAAAACAACAACTGAAGCTAGAAAAAAAATAATTGATTGTCAATGATAAAAATTTTAGAAGGAAAAAAGATTTAGAGTAAACTATAATATAAAGTAATAAAGTAAACTTGAATAAACTATTCTATTTGTTTTATCACAAACTATCTGTGATATCACAAACAAACTCCGTCCTGATATGTAAACTTACGCTTAGTCATTGCATCAACTCTATCATAATGTCATAATAAAATAAATAACATTTGGAAATTTGCCCGAACAACACAAGTGTGAAGTCAAGAAAACTTAGAATAAAAAAAAAGAAAGTAGAATTACCTCCACAAAACACATTTGTGTTGCACTCTCGTGTCTCAAGTAAAACTCCTTGACAAGGAGCAACATTTTGCACACATGAGCGAGTTCTAATTTGCATGAGAGATGTGCTTAGATTTTGACGACATGAAGAACTGCAATCGCTCCATGAATTCCAATTAGTAAGATAACCTAAAAAAAATTGAAAAACCAAAAATTAAAAAAAAATCAGTAAAATTTTCAAACCATATATATATATATATATATATATATATATATATATATATATATATATATATATATATATATATATATATATATATATATATATATATATATATATATACATATATATATATATGCGTATATATATATATATATATATATATATATATATATATACATATATATATATATGTATATATATATATATATATATATATATATATATATATATATATATATATATATATATATATATGTATATGTATATATATATATATATCAAATAAAATTAGCACCTCTAATTTTTTTAATAAAATTTTAGTTTTTCAATATAGTTTCTCAATATAATTTTCAACCCAAGTTTCAATAAGTGTTAATTAGTTGTAGCCACCCAATTTTTTTTAAAGCTACCCACATCCTTTTTGTATTCACACACTTCTTTTTCTGTCCATCTCCTTTTTGTAGCTACCTACTTTCTTTTTATCTATCAAATGGTTGATGATTTCATAAATTTTGTACTAACATGATTTTAACATGAGTTTTGAGAATTATTTTTTTTTTTTTGTCGAAGAGATAAATTTCCTGGAAAATTTAAATGTTAATACTCAAAGGAAACGCTATTTATTATTTTAACACAAAAAAATTATTTTTTGTAAAAATTTTATTTGATATTTGTTATATACATAT